CTCTCTAATACTGACTGTCCATATCAAGAATGTCCCAGATATTTATGGTCCTTAATCATATCTAAAACTCAGACTAGAATCTATCCTATGGTAAATATAGAATGCTAATAAACAAAATCATGTAGATAGGTAAGCAGATAGGAAGATAGGAATGTCAGCAGTTAGATAGGCCAGTAGGTAGGTAGGTACATGCATACAGTATGTAGGTAGGTGTGTAGGTAGGTAGGTAAGTATGTGGGTGGGTGGGTAGGTCAGTCGTGGTGGTCGGTGGGTCGGTGGGTCGGTGGGTGGGTGGTCGGTCGGTGGTGGGTCGGTGGTGGGTGGTGGGTGGGTCGGGGTGGGTCGGTGGGTGGGTCGGTGGTGGGTCGGTGGGTGGGTCGGTGGGTGGGTCGGTGGGTGGGTGGGTGGGTGGGTGGGTGGGTGGGTCGTGGTCGGTGGTCGGTGGTGGGTGGTGGGTGGGTGGGTGGGTGGGTGGGTGGTGGGTGGGTCAGTCGGTAGGTAGGTAGGTAGTAGGTAGATAGGTAGGTAGATAGGTAGGTAGATAGGTAGGTAGGGTAGATAGGTAGGTAGGTAGATAGGTAGATAGGTAGGTAGGTAGATAGGTAGATAAGTAGATAGGTAAGTAAGTAGGTAGGTAGGTAGGTAGGTAGGTAAGTAGGTAGGTAGGTAGGTAGGTGTTTGGGTAGGTAAACATACCACTGCCCTGGTATGTTTGGCAAGCCTTGTTTCATCAGTTTCTTTGGCCACCAAATTCTATAAGAAAGCTGTAAGGAAATATCAGTATGGTCATGTAAAAGAAGCATTGATGGACCAGTAGAGAGCAATAACATCTAATACATTACAGTGATTTTATATAAGGGCATGCAAATTCATTAGCTTTCATCTGAATTTTTCATTCTATAAATTATCTGCTGTATTAAATGAAAAGAGAAAATATGGTAATGAGTTTGCTAGCCCCTGAGAAATGACTGAAGTGTGAAAGGAAACCAAAGTTTCATCCCTGTGGACCATTTCTAGCCTAATAGCAAGATGCCATGCATGTGACAGGTGTGCTCTCAGCTGTATGTGTGTGTGTGTGTGTGGGGGGGGGGATTTTTTTTCAATATTTGTCATTTTCCAACCAGACACCATCCACGATAAACATGAGAAACATAACAATGTGTGAATGAAAATGTAATAAAGTAATAAGAGAAATACTAATTGTTAAGTTTCTGACTAAATTCCACCAAAAATAGTTACCTTCTCACTACAACTTAAACTTCATGGATATACCCCATAGACAGAAATGGAACCTCCTGGGCCTGTGATACCTACAGGCCAATGGGCTGACTTAAGGTGGGACCCAGCACAGGGTTATCCAGACCATTAAAAATTACATATAATATAATATAGGAATGAAAAAAGTTTGTACATGCTTTCCCTGGCAGTGCTGTCTCCTAGCCATGGGGATAGCTTGGCATGGTAGGTAGTTGAAACCAAGCTAGACATTGGCTGTTTGATTCCCATCCACTACTACAAGCAGGTAGGCAGAATTTTCTTCTACACTAAAATTATCATGTAACCTTGGCTACACGATACTGGATGAATTAATCACATTTTGTTACTAAGACATGAGATGTAAGTAAAGCCACAAATGGTGGCCATTATCTCCTACCAGCCACAAAACCAGTATAGTGCCTCCTAGTGAAGGTGTCAAGTGAATCTTAGTTGAATTTAAGTTTGAAAAAGTGTAACATCATAAGAACATTTGGCTAAAAACAAAAAACACTGAACACAGAATATAGTTAAAGAGCCTCTAGAAATAAGAAAACATTCTGTGCAGATTGCATTTTGATTTGCAAAGGTTTATGAAGCCATTGATAAAATATCATAATTCTAAAATTATATACAAAATGTAGAATTACCTATGGAGGATAAGACTATCAGACCTGAAAAGGAACATAAAACAAGATTAATAAATGCATAAAATGCCTAAGGCTCTAACCCGAGGATAAATATTGACACGGTATGAAAATTAATGTACCAAACTCCAATAGGATTTGCAACCAATATTTATTCCTTAGGATGCCAGAATATGCTTGCAATATTTTCATCTCATTATATAAATTTACATCTGTAAATTTAAAAAATGCTTATTTTTGTGCACACTGAATTAGAGTTCATAGAGACCATTTTTAGTGTCCCTTTTTCATCACATATTTTTTTTTTTTTTTTAAGATCAAAGCATCACAAATAAAAACCAGGATTCACTACCCAAGTGGAAAGTGGATTCATTGGAAGTGATTTCTCCCAATAGACAAAAACAAGACATAGAATCAAGTACAACTTGTGTTAAGATTATTTGTAACTTATGATTTATTATATAATATCAAAATTGTATTGTGTTATGCACAATCCTGAAAATAGTTTTATGTCATATTCTATAATTTATCATTACAAACAAAATCCTCCAATATAATTAACTTTCCTATACTTTATCATACTTTGCTTAATGCAAAACTGACCCTGCATAATTTGAGAGTGATTTATCAAAGCTTTAGCAGACCACAATAAAGCCACTGCAAAAAAAAAGAAAAAAAGAAAAAATAATAATGATGATAATTTTAAAAATCCCTATGTTGTGGCTATTAAATGATTACCCTGCCTTTCACCTATATGCTTTTTCATTCTACATTCTATTGGATTAGGTTTTTCACTTAGTAGTGGTTTCTCTACAACAGAAAAAAAGACAGAAAAAAAGACTGTAGTAACCCATATAACAAGACTGAAAATAATATCTTTGATATCATACAATATCATTGCTCTTGTACAAAGTATCTGCAACAAAAATATGATTATGATTGATATGGAAAACTGAGTTTCTGCAACCCCCATGATACTGTATACAGCCAATACCCTACTACACAAAAATAGGTAGCATTCATGTAATGTAAGCATAGTACTAAGTATCTGTATGAATGACTTGCTAGCATCTGTACAGCTAAATAGTTTAGGATTACAAGATGGTGATGGTATGCATACATAATGCATACCATATAGCTCATATAGCCCCATCAACCCTGATTTGAGGAACTGATCTAAAATAAATTGATCACTTTTTTATCAATTTTGAAGGAAATTCCAAAAGAGTATGAGCTCATAAAAAAATATCAATCAATCAAAAATTCAACCCTATTGATTTTTTCCCATAACTGGAACCTAAAGATTTCTTTACTTGGCCTAATTACATATTTACTAAATGTGATAAATGCTAATAACCTGCATAACTTTCAGGGGGCAATTGTTTGATGTGGTCTACTAATATCAAAATCTTATCTAGGAAAATTTATAATAACCAAACAGCTGTAACCTTTCTTCCATATCATTTATAAACAATATTACCATCTTAATCTCTGGTGAATGCCAACTAAAACAGTTAATATATAATATTCAACCCATTAACCCCAAGTCACAGGGCATGGCATGTACATATATGCCATGCCCATTGTGTGTGTACTGAAGATAGTAATTGTTTTTACATAAAGATGGCTCTACAAGGACTAAGTCACCAATGAGCCAATTACGCAAACTACCTGTTTCACCCGTTTACCCTTTTCCTTGATTTTAGATATTTTCTAGTATTTAATACTGCTGTTAAGATTGTCAGTACCAAAATAGTAATTATAATGTTCATAACAAAAATAAGTGTTAATATTGATAGCATTAGTAAAAAAAGTGTTTTCCCACTTTTTCAAGGAAAAATGAGGTCCCAAGATCTATTAATTAACTCCTTTGCAGCTAAACATTGGCAAAGCCATCTATGTGCAGAAACATTTAACCAAGCATTGCCAAAGGGAATGCACCATTTTCCCGTCAATATTGGGTTAATCCCGGGTAAAAAAAAATTGGCAAATGGATATTGACATGCCTGGCTCATTCTGTAGTTTGGGGGCAACATTAGCTAAAACCTTATCTTTTGATATCTTAAAACAAAAAAAATGTGGTTTACTTTCACTTCAGGTGCTTTTGCCTAAAAGTTTTACCATAGAAATGGTGCCACTACTATTGGAGAAAAACAATTTCTGTCCAATGAGCCAATGATGTAGGAATGGTCGTGACATGATGCCAGCTGCTACTTTGTCCACAACAGCCTTGGCATGTATGTAAATGCCACCTGGGGGCATGGGGTTAAACAAACTGAAGTTATGTAAACTTCCTACCTCCCAGAGAAGTTTATCTATCAAAGGACTTTATGTTATACAGTAAGATGCCCTTGCTCCAAGTGAGATCCATGGATTGGATCATGATTAGATTCAGTGATTAAGAAGTGATTTTGTTTACACATAGACGGATCCACAAGTGCTCAGCTCCCTAGGCCTCAATTAGTAAGCCTCTGTGACCTCACCTGAGTTTCCCTTTCCTTGACTTTTCAGGATTTTTCTTCTATTTACTTTATGATTATATGATGTTAATAAAAATACTAGCAGTAATAAAGACTAAAAAGAACATTTCCAGAAATCAAAAAAAGGATATTTAGGCGAGATATGTGTGACTAATAATTGACTCCTTAGTAACTAAGCATTTGTGGAGCCATTTAATTGTAAACACAATTAATAAGCTTAAGTCACAGTGGACATGGCATGTATGTACATGTCACACCTAGAACCAATGAGTTAATAACAAATTAATGAACATACATGAAGAGAAAATAATTGAAATCCTTATATGTAGTAACAGAGAAATGAGAACAGACATTCATTAAAAAAAGCTAAATATGCAAGGGCCCTAACATCAATCTTTCACAAGGTATTAAATGCTGCCATCAGAAACTTTCAGTTTAGAGAGACAAAGTAAACTGACTTAGAACATGAGACTACATGTTCTATCTTACAAGAGAACTTTGCAAAAATAACTTTTCTCAGACAAAAAAGAAAATCACGTTAAGTTTAGAGACCCCACATCCAAAGAGCTAGATCTGTGAGTACTTCAATTAATCCAGAAAAAAATCAAGTAGTACGATAACAGAATTGCATCGCTGAATAAACAGAAAAAGTATAAGAAAAAAAGTCAAGAATTCACAGCCCAAAAGATGAACCAAAATATGAAAGTGCACACTTGGGGGGAAAATGAACACAATCAGCAACAATAGCATGTTCTTAAAATAAAAGACCAAGTAACAGATAACACAGAATGAAATCTATGTAAAAAAATCCTAACTCAACCGGGGCTGGATTTACTAATACCTATTAGAATGTATGAGGTTTGTTTACATCATAAATGAAGCTACTCTTGTTTCTCGCAATGAGCATATTTTCAAAACACTTCCAAGGTTGTAAACACATCTCCATACAAGAGACATTTGCAGGAAACTGAAACCACTCGTAACACTTACCATAGCAACCCACCTCATACTTATCATAACTGTTATGAGAGGCAGTGTTTCTGAGAGAGTTTAGTAAATCCCGCCCCTGGACTTAAACTCGGCCATGGGTTTACTAGTAACAAATGGCATCTTCAAATCACTCAGTTACACATAAATGACAGTAGATTTATGTAATACTATTTATAACTTTGACTCAGATATAACTCACAACCGTCTTGAATATTTTCTCAGATTTCCCTCAGATCTATAAAGTTGATATTACAACACTGTCTGTTATATATGACAGTTGCAGAAGAACTTTGGCAGGACTGTACTCTTGAACTTATTCACTGAATGGAAGTTCCATGATGAACATCACTACCAATACACATTATAATTTATATATATCTTACATCTGTGTTATCAAAAATATACTCTGAAGTTATTAAAACAAAAAGAATAGAATACTATTGAAAAGCTATCACAATAAAGTAAATGTCAGATAAAAATAACATACAGGCATATGTATATATGCCTGATAATACATATATTCATGAAATATGTGATAATACAAATTTATAGGAATTTCACAATCTGTATGCATCATTCCACAAACATAAACATTATGAGACTTTCAGAAAAGGACATTATGCCATCCACCTTTCCTCTCCCGGCAAGCATTAAGAGCAGCCAGGATGTGTATGACACGTCGGTCCATGGCACGGAGATGGGCCTCAGCAAGCACAGGAGCAATTGGGTCAAGGGCCAGGAGTTCCTTCATGGCTTGTGACATTCCACCACCACTCAGGAGAACCAGCCTTTCATATGTTGTTTGGTGTAACCTACAGGATAACACCAACGAAGTAATGATAGATTTTTTTTTTTTTTTTTTTTTTACACCATAAACAAAATGGTATATTGATACTTTACTGTAAACATTTTGGTTTTTCTCTGTTACCCAAATTGTAGCATATGATCATGCCAGCACACACACTAACTCACTCTCACTCCTATTACCACACTCTCCCTCGTTCTCTCACTTTCTCACTCTCTCTTTCTTTCTCTCCCTTTCCCTCCATAATTTTCTCTCTCTCTCTCTCTCTCTCTCTCTCTTCTCTCTCTCTCTCTCTCTCTCTCTCTCTCTCTCTCTCTCTCTCCTCTCTCTCTCTCTCTTCTCTCTCTCTCTCTCTCTCTCTTCTCTCTCTCTCTCTCTCTCCTCCTCTCTCCTCTCTCCTCTCTCTCTCTCTCTCTCTCCTCTCCTCTCTCTCTCTCTCTCTCCTCTTTCTCTCTCTCTCTCTCTCTCTCTCCTCTCTCTCTCTCTCCTCTCTCTCTCTCTCTCTCCTCTTTTCCTCTCTCTCTCTCTCTCTCTCTCTTCTCTCTCTCTCTCTCTCTCTCTCTCTCTCTCCTCTCCTCTCTCTCTCTCTCTCTCGCTCTCTCTCTCTCTCTCTCTCTCTCTCTCTCTCTCTTCTCTCTCTCTCGTCTCTCTCTCTCTCTCTCCTCTTTCGTCTCTCTCTCTCTCTCTCTCTCTCGTCTCTCTCTCTCTCTCTCGTCTCTCTCTCTCTCTCTCTCTCTCTCTCTCTCTCTCTCTCTCTCTCTCTCGTCTCTCTCTCTCTCCTCTTGCTCTCTCTCTCTCTCTCTCTTCTTTTGTCTCTCTCTCTCTCTCTCTCCTCTTTTCTCTCTCTCTCTCTCTCTTCCTCTCTTTTCTCTCTCTCTCTCTCTCTCTCTCTCTCCTCTCTTTCGTCTCTCTCTCTCTCTCTCTCTCTCTTTCGTCTCTCTCTCTCTCTCCTCTTTTCGTCTCTCTCTCTCTCTCTCTCTCTCTCTCTCTCTCTCTCCTCTTTTCGTCTCTCTCTCTCTCTCTCTCCTCTTTCTCTCTCTCTCTCTCTCTTTCTCTCTCTCTCTCTCTCTCCCTCTTTTCGTCTCTCTCTCTCTCTCTCTCTTTTCGTCTCTCTCTCTCTCTCCTCTCATCTCTCTCTCTCTCTCCTCTCTCTCTCTCTCTCTCTCTCTCTCTCTCTCTCTCTCTCTCTCTCTCTCTCTCTGCTCTCTCTCTCTCTCTCTCTCTCTCTCTCTCTCTCTCTCTCTCTCTCTATGGATAACCAATGATACCAAAGCTACAATGAAAACTAGGGAACAGCTCTCTCCTCTTTTCGTCTCTCTCTCTC